GATTAGGGCTGTTACAAGAGAGTAACAAACATAAAAAAGAAGAAGGGGAGATAAGGATAATAGATGTTTGACATGAAAGAAGCTGGGCAGACAAACAAATCCCAGGTGGAACTGACAGAAGTTGAACCAAGAAGACAGGGGTAAGACGAAAAAAACAAGTACACTGTAAAAGAAAAAGAAACAGACAGAGAGAAGGGGAGAAAACAGAAGGGTCCTTTAGTGTTTGGAAAAGGCAAGACACACAGGAAACAGAAGCGCACATAATTAGGCGCCTGCCAACCATCCGCACGGAACTTGGCACACACTTTAAAAACGTGATGACATGCGTGGAACAGTACAGATAGGGGAAGAAGAAGAAGGAGGAGGAGGAGGAGGGAAGGGGGAGGAGGACGTGGAGGAGAACAACAACAACAGCAATAATAACTACAACTACAATAACAACAAAAATAACATTTAAATAACAACAGCAACCACAATGTAACCAAAAGTTGGACAACAAAATTCAGTGTCAATTACCACAAGACCATGAGTCACAGCTCGGACAGTGCTTCTCTGACAGACACCACCAACAGCTTCCGAGTCCAAGGCGCCCTGTGCGGCCAAGGACACCCCGGGCTCGGTTCCTTCCCGTGCCGAATCACACACCGAAACCCCGATCGAGTCTTCCCGAAACGACGTGGCTTCCTCCTCCATCGAGGACTGGCTGAAGAATCCCGACTCGAGGAGCGGATTCTCACGACTCTTTCTCGTAGAATCTGCGCCAAACGAAGTGGTCATCTCGTCAAACATGACGGGTTTGGCCATTCTGAAGACGTGGCGAGGAGAAGTCTTAATCCCTTCAACATATTGCTCACAATAGTTCGTCGAAGGAGAGGACGCCTCAATGTTCTGACTAAAATAACTACTCTCGGCAGCAGAGTCCGACTTTCCGGTAACTCCCCTTTCGTGTTGACGACGATAGTTTTGTGGCAGGCTGCCGAAGGCGTCGCCAGTGGCGTCATCATTGATGTGGGACATTCGACTCGTCATCTGGTGCTCTTCCAGGACTTCTGCAATCACTGGAAGTCCGAACGATCCGCTGACGCTGCGGGTGCTGCTGGTGCTGATGCTACTATTGCTGCCGCTTATGTTACTGCCGCTACTGCTGCTGTTGTTACTGCTGCGACTGTTGCTGCTGCTACTACTGCTGCTGTTGCTGTCGTAGCTGTTGGAGTATGATCCACTGTCTCTGGTTGGGTTGCTCATGCTGTTCCCCGATCTGTCGAACTTAATCCCTGGATACATATTTTGTTTCCGTTCCTCCACAGTGACTTGTAAAATATCGTTGTGTTGACTCATAGATGGGGAAGATTCTTCAAAATCATCCGAAGTTCTGAAGTCGGTCCTACAATCATACGAGAAACACACAGGATTGTCTTCATAAAATTGTCTGGTCGGATCATAATCCTTTACAGAAGAGGAACGCACTGCACAAAGGCTGTTTTCATAAACCTCCCTAGTCGAGTCAGCATCCTCTACAGATGGGGAACGAACTGGGCTGTTTTCACAAACCTGTCTCGCCGAATCAGATTCCTTTCTACAGATTCCTTGTGACTTGTCATAACGAGTAGAAGAAGCCGAATCCTCCACACCATCGGGCGTGGCGTCACCTTCCCTCTGGGCACACCAACCCGTGTGCAGCAGCTGCTCGAAAGCCTTCAGCGCTCCCACCTCCACCACACCAGCCGCCATATTGGTGACGTTGTCTTCAGCCTTCTTGTCGTCTGAAGCTTGTGCCCTTTGAGCAAGCGGTGCGTCTTCGGTGAACGAGGAGTCGAAATCTGGTAATACGGGTTCAAACCCAAGCAATTCTTCGAACTTCCGTGACGAAAAGGCGGCCAAATCATGACCTTTATCCGAAATTGTGGGTTCTTTAATATTCAAAGAACCCTGTTGCGCTCCCGATGAGCTGGAATTCCGCCCCTTTGTGTCGTATTTCACTATACGGAAACTACCTTCGGATTCAGAGGGAACCGCTTGCTTCCCGAAGGGCACATTAAACCCGAATCTGCTTCTGTCGGTTGCAGTGTCGGGCTCCTCAGTGACAGGTTTTGCTCTAGAGGTACCGGCAGACACGCCTGCCCAGCGAGGTATGGCAGTGGATACAGCAGGCACTAGAGTACGTCTTGGTGTTAAAGCGTCATCATCGCGATACGTCTTTCTCCGGGTCGTGTTCCAGGGGGTGGTGGAGGCCCCGCTCTGAGCTCGTGACCGATTGTCCAGGGTTGTCCGCAGCTCGGACACAAGGGCGGACTTCAGGGCCTCTCGGTCGGTGGCAGAGGTGCTGTTGCTGCTGTTGCTGCTGTTTCTGTTGGAGCTAAATTCGCTGCTGCTGCTTCTGAGGGTGGTGGTGCTGTTGTTGTTATTGTTAGTAGAGCTGCTGTTGTTGTTGTAGTTGGTGGTGGTGGTGGTGATGGTGGTGGTGCCCCCGGTGGTGCCGATACTCTTTTCGCCAGACCGATTCATCAGTCCCCAACCAAACCTCGAGCGAGGTGACGATCGCTTCTC